TGTGCACAGTGTGTGTCTCTGGTTCCAGTCCTGATGAGCTCCGGCGGCGGCAGCACAGGGGTAGTGGTAGCTCCGCCCACAGCCCGTCTCCTGGCAACGAAGCGATGCGCCGAGCCTCTGGCAGAACACACACACCTGGACAGGTGAGAGAAGGGGGAGGGGCTCAGTGAGTGAATGGACCCAGCAGCAGCTCAGGTAATCACGTGTGACTCCACCCAGCGTCCAGGTCCTCCATCGGTCGCTCCACCGGCAGACTCCTCACCAGAACCAGGTTTGGGTTTGACCCAGAGCATCGACTGTCGTTAGTATTTTGACTCGTGGTCCATTTCAGTGGACTTTTTTGAAAAGCAGTTATAAAGAGACTCTTTCATGTCACAGTGAAAACAGACTGAGAAACAAACTGTCTCTGTTCCGGAGAGGTGACAGCAGGACTGTAACGGATCACAGCCTCTCAATCGACTCGTATCCGGACAGGCGCTGTGGATAACATCACTCACCTGTGTGCTCCCTGAGTCGATGGCTTTGTCCACGTAGAGCAGTGATTGGCCCTCGCCTCGACACACCCCCTCTGACCAGGCAGCACACTGCAGGTGAGCACAGCACTGACCTGCACACAGCCACACAGGAGGAGGTCAGGAGGAGGAGGTCAGGAGGAAGAAGTCAGGAGGAGGAGAGGAGGAGGTCAGGAGGTGGAGGAGAGGGAGAGGAGGAGGTCAGGAGGAAGAAGTCAGGAGGAGGAGGTCAAGAGGTGGAAGAGAGGGAGAGGAGAGGAGAGGAGAGGAGAGGAGAGGAGAGGAGGAGAGGATGGGGTCAGGAGGAGGAGGAGAGGAGGAGAGGAGGAGGTACCTGTGGGGTCGAACAGTGATTGGACGTTGATGTCAGGTGGAAGGCCGATTGGTCCGAGCTGCTTCAGGAACTCTGAGGAAGACTCATCCTCTGAAACATCAGCACAGTGAACGATTCAAATACCTGCTCAGGATCAATAACACTGATCAGAAGGTGATCGGCAGTCACGGCTCAGTTCCTGCATCGCCTCACATCCTGGTCGCTTTAGTATTTCTTATTTGGGACCAAAACTACATGCTGGTTCCAGATGCTGGTTCCAGATGCTGGTTCCAGATGTTGGTTCTAGATGTTGGTTCTAGATGTTGGTTCTAGATGTTGGGTCTAGATGCTGGTTCCAGATGCTGGTTCTAGATGGTGGTTCCAGATGTTGGTTCCAGATGTTGGTTCCAGATGTTGGTTCCAGATGTTGGTTCCAGATGCTGGTTCTAGATGCTGGTTCCAGATGGTGGTTCCAGATGGTGGTTCCAGATGTTGGTTCCAGATGCTTGTTCCAGATGCTGGTTCCAGATGCTGGTTCCAGATGTTGGTTCC